TGGCGCACATGATGGCGGAGCATCGTAACGGGGTGTGTGAAGCCAGAGTACAAATACCTGGTACACATCCGTATACCGAGTGGCCAGTAGCATCCGAATCCATCTTCCACCTTTTGCCTAAACTCGCACATCCGGCAAGATGGTCGCTCGCAACCGCAGTCAGCGCAAGCTGAACACCTTCACAACGCTGTTCTTCGCTGCAACAGCAATGTCAACAGCCATCCGCACTCCGGTTTCAAGTCGTTCAACATACCCACGGATGACATCACGATCAACAGAAATGGACTCCGCACCATACCGGGATGCATCGCTGTCGGTGGATGAGCGTGTGGAGGACCTCATTCAGCGCATGAACATGGAAGAGAAGGCCGGACAACTCTTCCAGCAAATCACCTTCCCGGGTCCCAATGGAACTGTGACGAACTCTAGTTCATCATCAATCCAAGGGTTGCACATGACACATTTCAACCTTAACAGTGCGATCACCGATGTACGCCAAACTGCACAATATTACAACAGTCTCCAGCAGTTGGCTTTGGACTCCAGGCTCGGCATCCCAATCACACTCTCCTCAGATCCTCGACACACATTCGTTGATGCCACTGGTAGTCAGATTGCGGCGATCAAGTTCTCGCAGTGGCCAGGTAGCTTAGGCTTGGCAGCAATCCGTGATGCTGAGCTCGTACACACCTTTGCGGATATCGCACGACAAGAATACAAGGCTGTCGGTATCAGGTCTGCGCTGCATCCTCAAATCGATGTAGCAACCGAACCCAGGTGGGCTAGGATCACCACCACGATGGGCGAGAACGCCACATTGACCGCTGAGCTTGTCGTTTCCTACATCAAGGGCTTCCACGGCCCTGGTGAATTTGGAAAGGACTCCGTCACCACCGTCTCCAAGCATTTCCCCGGAAGTGGACCCGTCCAGGACGGAGAAGACAGCCATTTCACCTACGGCAAGAATGCCACATATCCCGGAAACAATTTCGAAATGCACCTTATTCCCTTCAAGGCGGCCATCGCAGCTGGCGCGAGGCAGATGATGCCGTACTACTCGAGGCCCATGGGCACCAAGTACGAAGAGGTCGCTGCTGGAATGAACAAGGGTATCGTCACCGATCTTCTCCGTGGCGAACTCGGTTTCGACGGCATCGTCGTCAGTGACTGGGGTCTCATCACCGATGGCATCATCGCCGGACAAGACATGCCCGCTCGTGCCTGGGGTGCCGAGAACCTGACCGAACTCGAGCGCGCAGAGAAGATTCTCAACGCCGGCACCGACCAGATGGGCGGCGAGCAGCGAACCGACCTGGTTCTCGAGCTGGTGGAGAAGGGCATCATAAGCGAAGAGCGAATCGACATGTCAGTCCGTCGCCTCCTCCGCGAGAAGTTCATCCTCGGCCTCTTCGACAACCCCTTCGTCGATGTCGACGAAGCCGTCGCCAACGTTGGAAAACCAGAATGGGTCGCCGCTGGTTTCGAAGCCCAAAAGAAATCCATCACCCTCCTCACCAACAAAGACCACACCCTTCCCCTCAAGGCCTCCGACTGCGAAAAGTCAAAGGCAAAGTTCTACGTCGAAGGTATCAACGCTACTTATCTTGAGAAGCGCGACTTGACCGTTGTCGCTACCCCCGAAGAAGCAGACTACGCCTTCCTCCGCCTGGCTGCGCCTTACGAGCCCCGCCCTGGGGGTTTCGAAAAGAACTACCACTCCGGCTCCCTGGAATACAACAGCACCGAGAAGGCGCGCCAAGCAGCCATCTACACCGCCGTGCCCACCATTGTCGACGTCTTCCTTGATCGCCCCGGTGCGTTCCCTGAGATTGCTGAGCAGGCGCAGGCACTCATGGTGAACTTTGGTACTAGTCCAGATGCGTTCCTTGATGTAGTCTTTGGCAAGGATGGCAGTGGTCCCGAGGGAATGTTGCCGTTTGATTTGCCGAGGAGTGACGAGGCTGTTGAGGCGTCCAAGGAGGATGTGCCGTTTGATACTGAGAACCCAGTGTTCAAGTTTGGTCACGGTCTTAGATATGAGTAAGAGAAGCGGTAGTCCAGACGATGCAACGACTTGATGAGGTTGTTGCAACAGTCATGATAGATTAATGTATTTTGATGATACCCAAAGCTTTTGTTTCTGATGTAGAGAGATGTGATGCGCTTCGTGATAAGCTTATACTGTGCCATCTCAGGCTGCGGGTAACACAGATGTGTAATAGCACAGCAGAGATAAGCATCTTTCTGTCGCAAACGTCGCCCAGGTTGTCTGGATCGAGTGGAGGAGGAGAACTTGTTGATGCGTAATAGGAAAGAGCTAGGCAGGCAGTGTGCTTGGCAAGCGAAACGCGTCTTCCCCGCCTGCCGCGTCGCGTTCCAGACAAGCTTCAGCACCACCCTCCAGCTTCAGCCAAGGACAGGAACCCCGCACATGCATAAAATAATAACAACTAGAGTTCGACACTTCTTTTATCGGCTGTGCTGCGATGCACTCTCTATTCAAACATAATTGAGAGTTGTTCGTATGCACAGCAAAGACACGCTACATGTCACAGCGAAGAAGCCAGATTTCACCACGATTATTTGCCCAAAGACATTGAAGACTTTATGTTTTATGGTACATCACGCCCCAAGGAGATCTATGAGCACTATACTTCAATCTTGTCCACGCGACAAAGCTCCTTCACTTATGTCAGTGTCTTGCGTGTCTTCATCGAGACTATTCGATCATTCTGACAGTTTTTGTTTACCATATACCTGAATCTCGGGGAGTCAATTTCTTCCATTCCTCATAGTCTAGGGTCTTTTTCCTGGTACTGATGACTTCGAAACGAGCGTCTTGATGACGAGGACAAGCTGTGACACGTTTGCGAAGTTCCTGAACCAGCAGCGCTTCACGAGCTCCGGAAAAGGTGAATTTGGCAAACATATCGTCGTGGTCAAAACAATGGAACTTCCCATTTCTGGAAAACATCATGTGTAGCTGCACAGAACGCAGTGTTGGCGTCTTACCCAGTACGTCCACAAGACTTTTCACACTGGGACTGTTAAGAGGCTGATCTCGTAGGAAGAAGCCCCTAATTGCGTTCCGGTCGGCACTGCCTAGCATCGAACCTATCGGCATATACAACGTCAGGTTTTTCAATTTCTTACATTCTCCTAGCAGCTTGATCATGGCTCGGTAATTCTGGTGCTGATCGTCGGTAGCTATTCGATCTACGTTCAAGCCAGCAAGAGAGCTCCTACCAAGGGGACCGATCTTCCTGAGGAACTTACAGATACCGAAAAAAAGAGGACCCGGCTGGCCAAACTGTAGCTGGACCCTGGTATGGGACCAGAAGAACCCCTGTACCTCTTGCCGGATTTGTTTGTTCAACGCGCCAACAACATGCAATACTGAAATGGTACGGTCAACTCGAAGCTCGGCGAGATGCATCAGCGTATAATCCCAAGAACGAACAGGGGAGAATCGACCAGCGTCGCCAGTGATCTTGCCAGTGATCTTCAAAACTCCAGCGCTATGATGATCGTCTCCGGCTCCCCGTCCAGTAACGCTATTTGGTGTTATGTAAGGAGGGTCGAAGAGGGCGAGTTCGTAGATCATGTCCCGGATCTCCGGAGGCAAGTCCATGAAGCACTTTCTGGAGGGCTCACTTTTGACCTTGCTGGTGAGCATGAGCTCCGGTCGCTCACGTATAAAACTCTGGGCTTGGTCCCAAAGCTGTTTTTGGTGTCGCCAGCGCATCTTTCTGGAATGATGCTCCAGCTTGTCGACCATGAATGCCTTGTTTCCATTTCCAACTAACTTCAGCACTTTCATCGCTTTTTGGAGGTCCACGTTTTTCATCGACCAGAAGTCTGGCATGTGGTTGACTTCCAGTGCAGCAAGTCTTTCGCGGGACTTGATGTAATCGACGTAATCCATTCCGGGTTCTGGCGGTGATCTTTCTCGCGAAAAAGCGGTTCCTGACAACATGTTGAGGCCGACCATACTAAGATTTCGGGTGAGCGAAGAAGCGTAAGGTGCCAGAAGCTTACGATATTTATAGTCCAGAAGAGGGGGTGACAATCGGAACGCGCAGAGTACACGCTGTGATTGTCCACAAAGCAGCACCAACACGTGCAGTGGATCATCACAAGATTCTCCAGGACTGACTGGGCCTTTCCCGAACTATCCGTGTTGATACATCAGCATGTTTTCCGTTATATGCGGAAACCTCGGCAGCGAGAGACACAATGGTTCTGGCACCGCCAGGAAGCAGATTCATCTCCACTTGGCCGCTAGAACGTATTCTGCTTCACGATACCACGTGATCATCATGTCATTTTTGTGACAAACCCAGGCAAGGATACAGTTCTGGCAATTGCTCTCAAGACGCTGAGCATGCGGAGTGTGCACGAGCACACTGGGGTACTTGCTGTATGTCACATCAGTTGGTCCATTGGTCACGCTTGAAACACACACATTCCCTAATGACATGAAACACGCTTGATATTCCAACGCTGCAGCTCTATAAGTACATCTTGCTCATTTCTTCTCGTTGATTATCCGGTATCGCAAGCTATGCGTTTCTCCCGACATCACCAATCGAGGCGACCGTCGTTTGCGATGGCCTTTCCCTCTCAATGTTCAAGGTGACTACCGCCCTCACCTTGCGGCCAGACTCTTCCGGAATCATCTGTCGCACTCTGCCTTTTACTTCTCGACGTGAAGGAGAATTGCGTGCTTTAGTGCTGGTCGGAGCGGCTTCCTGTCTGTATATAATTTCTTCTCCACCAACTCTCTTTCCTTTCTTTCCTATATCTTCAACGACAACACTATCACTTCCCCAGAGCTGCGTTTCTGACCAGCGTTCAACCGATACCGTAAGTTTGCGAAGTCATTCGTCGAAGACATCTTTGCTAACGCTCTTCATAGACTACAACTTTGACATCACGAACTGTATCGAAGCAAACAACTTCAGCGAGCAATCGATCAACGAAGACCGCAAGCCTCTACGATGTCTAACAACACTACATTCATCAACGCGATTCAGTACAAGCCAGGTCGCGATCGTCCGACTGGCTATGTAGTCAACGATTTCGAATCGTTTGCGGACACTAGCTTAGTGACCTATTGGCGTACTTACAAGGGAAAAGTCGCCAACTACAATCACGATACCGACGTTGCCACCGTTGTCAATGTCAGCAATGCAATTGTAAGCTCTCTTCACTTTTACTGTTAGTTTGATTCTTTTCAACACGACTTTGTCCCTCCTGCGTTTTCTCCTTCACTCAAGCAATTAGTTGGTTACCACCAACACCCTGTAGGACCTGATTGAGAACAACGAAAACGCCATGGATCAGATCATCTGGGGTATGACCCACCCAGAGGACATTCATCCCGGCGTTGCATCCATCGTCGGCAACACTGCCCTCGTCGACCTGCTCCTAGTTCGTCACTACAAGAAGTGGGGCGGCCTCATTCTTCCTCCCCTTCAAGCAGCGCGAGGACTACAAGATGCTCACGAAGTTGTCGCCAATCAAGAGAAGGATCAAGGACTCCAGTGGAATGGTGGCCGCTCCTTGATGAAGTACCCGAACTGGTAAGACATGAGATCAAAACTTACTGGTGCGATATGAGACTGACATTCACAGGCGTAACACTCGTAGAAAAGCTCCTCCTCCTGGCTTCCAGGCACCGAATGCAGCTCCTACGAATGCCCCTGGTCCTCGTGGCGATGCTGGTCGTGGACGAGGCGGAAATCGCGGTCGTGGCGGGCTCGGTGGTGGCTACTAGTCGCTTCAGGGTGGTAGAAGATCTTGAAAATTTTGTGATTTGAGATGCGGTCTTTGCTTATCAGTCGCCAGCAATCAATCCTAGAAGGGATGTTTTGGTGTAAGCTTACAGGTTCGTGGCTTCGCTTGCCAACCATAGACACTTCGGTTAGAATAGAGTGGTAACGATAGTAGAGATATGTCTAGATCTCTCAATGTTTTCTAGCATCTTACAGAGGTATTCTAGTGTACTCTCTTCCTCCTCGTAGATTGATGTATACATCAAACGTGCTCGACATGTACCTCTTAATAGATTGGAAACGTAAGATGAACGACAAAAACAACCTTGCTTTGCATGTCTCAATACTCTAAATCAACTCAAGCATTGCTCGCTGAGCTATCGATATATTCTTTCCAGAACGTTAGGTCGATGTAACTGGCATAGCCCCTTGCCTTCGGGTACACGGGTTTACCCCGCAACGCACGCGCCTGCAGGGCCAACAGCGATCCGACCGAACATCAACTTAGAGAACACGACGTCCCAACCACCTCCCTCTGATTCGTCGATCACCCACACTACCCCAGTTCTACGTGGTCCTGCTTCTTCCTAGGCGCCCCCAAAGCTGAGCTAGACCCAAACCTAAAATGCTGCGTGATCGACCCATTCGGACTGATTCCGCTACTCCAAGTGAAGACCTGCATACAGGTGGTGAGAATAGTACACAAGGATGACCATAGTGGCACGAATCACAAACTACAGCTGCTGGGTTGGTTCTTTTGTTGAGTCTCCAAGGAGCTGGCGTATTCGAGGGCGTTAGCTGACATGCAGTAGCCTTTCATGTTGGCCCATTCTGCGACGTGGCGGTACATCCGGTCCCGCTACCGTGCAGTGCGGCTCTGTTCCGTGGCCTTTATATCTAGGCTAACTGACCATTTGGCAAAGTTATATATGCTTTGGCCTCGTTCTGGAGACTAGGAACTGGACCGCCTCTCTGAACACTCACCATCACAGCCATGTCTCTTGAACGCGTCGACTCAGTTGACCCTACGGAGGTCTACGACTACATCATCTGCGGGTAATTCAACCTCACTGAGAGAGCGCTGCACATCGTTCTCAGCCGATTATCCTTTGAGCAAACAAATGCTAATCGAGATTCACTAGTGGCGGCACTTCAGGCTGCGTAATTGCAGGTCGTCTTGCCGAGGACCTCAATGCAAAGATTCTCGTCCTGGAAGCTGGACCCGACAATGCTGATCTTGAGAATGTGCATATGGCGGGAGGGTGGAGCAAGAACTTCGACAGCGAGACAGATTGGAATATCGTGACCGAGCCCATGCCCAAGGTAGATAACCGACAGGTCAAGGTCAGCAGAGGGCGCTTCCTTGGAGGTTCAAGTGGCGTCAATGGTACGCTTTGTATTCGAGGCACAAAGCAGGACTACGACGACTGGGAGATGGATGAATGGACTGGAGAGAAAATGTTCGAGTATATGAAGAAGGTTTGTTGTTGAAGGCTAGAACGGCTCTAGCATAAAAGCTGACTATGATGCAGGCCGAGACTTTCCACGAGAAGGGCTGGCATAAAGCTGATATGTCGGTTCATGGGACGTCAGGACCTCTTCATACCGAGCCTCACGATCTAGCGCCTATTTCTGAACGTGTCAGAGAGAGCCTTGTCGATCAAGGTCTTCCTTACCACGCCGACATGTTTTCAACAGGAGAGACACCTCATGGATGCGGAGACGTACCACGAACAGTGCATCAGGGTATCCGGAGTACCGCCGCAGACTTCATCACCAAGGGCTATCGACGGGAGAATATCACCATCAAGACCGAAGTGACTGTCAACAAACTGCTCTTCAACAAAGATTCCGAGGACCTCACAGCAACAGGTGTCGCAACGATATCCAAGAACGGCAAAAAGATCGATTACCAAGCGAGAAAAGAAGTCATTGTCGCAGCAGGCGCATATTGTAGTCCACCAATCTTAATGCGCTCCGGCCTTGGACCAAAAGAACAGCTAGAAAAACATGGAATCGAGTGTCTCGTTGATCTCCCCGGTGTTGGCGGAAACCTGATGGACCACGTTCTCTGCTTCATCTTCTACGAAGTCTCCGAACCAAACCTGACAAATGACCACCTCGCATACCACGATAACGCCATAGCCTCAACCTACGCCCTCTACCAAGAAAAGAAGACTGGAATCCTCTCTACTTTCCCTTTTGGCATATTCGGATACGCCCGCCTTGACGAACGCCTACAAGACTCGCCCTTGTGGACCAACGCGCCCCGACAGTCAGGCCGCGACCCTATGGGTCTCACGCCCTCGCAACCAAACATCGAGTTCTGGAACACGGAACTATATGGTGGGCCAAAGCAATATGAAGATTTTCCCATTGATCATAAACACGCATTCGCCATGTGTGCATTGTTGTTCAATCAGCACAGTAGGGGAAGTGTGACGCTCAAGTCTGCTGATCCGATGGAGAACCCGATTGTCGATCATGCCTACCTAGAAGACCCACTGGACATGCTGGTCATGAGCGAGGCATGCCGATTTGCGAACGAAATCATCATGAAAGGCAAGGGAACGAAGGATGTTATCAAGGGCAGTTGGCCGGAGGGTTTGGCTCATCATGGTTTCGAGACTAGGGAAGAGTGGGAGCCGCATGTTAGGGAACATGCTACGACTTGTGAGTTGTCATTACAGTCTTGATACGTGATTTGAGGACTGATACCCATCCCTAGGTTACCATGCTTCCGGCACCTGCGCAATGGGCAAATCGGATGACCCAAACGCCGTCCTCGATTCTCGCCTTCGCGTCCGCGGTGTTCGCAACCTGCGTGTCGCGGATGTGTCTTCTATCCCCAAGGTGAACAACGGACATACGCAGATGGTGGCGTATGGCATCGGAGAGGGAGCGGCAGAGATGATCAAAGAAGATGCTAGAAATGGCGAGAATCACTTCTTGAAGCTTACCGATGACATCAAGAGTATGGCGGTTTAATGGTCATTGTGTTGGGCGGCTACATGAGTGTATGTTTGATGAGTCCATGTCGATAGTGTATCGGCAGAAGTTGTACTCTAATCTATATCTTTCGTTCTTGAACTTCCATGACAGAAGACGTACGCCCGCGTGTAGTCTGTACAATCCTCGCCTCGTTCCTATCTCTAACGTCCTCCGATCTGCCTTCCTTCACATCCCTCTTCACCTCCGTCTTCTTCGCATCATCAGCCACTCGTTCGTATCCCCAAACCAAACCCCCAATAACCACACAAACCATCAGAATCAGGTCAACAATGTGTATCCCCCACCACCAATGTTGCACACCCACGCCACACGAGCTAAACTCAAAAACCCATTCCCCCTTCTCTCCCTTCTCTTCCTCGAACCACGCAGACAGGAAACCGGCATAGCCAGAGTACTCGCCCATCATACTACGGAGCGTAATCTCGCGGATATGGGGCGCGTCGTTAATAGACGTGCATTCGTCATCTGCATGGATATCGTAAGGGCGATTTGGGAAGCGCTGAGCGCGCCATTTGGGCGGTGGAGGTGGTTCGGAAGCCGGTTCCAGAGTAGGCTCTGGTGAAGATTCAGATGTTGATTCTTCCTGAGTGGAGTCGGTCTCGGTTTGGATAGCGGTATCGGTATCGGTATCGTTGGCAGCTACAAAGTTAATGTCGACCCCATCGATATCCATTGAAGTGGCAATCATGGTGTCGTTCGCGGTACTAGTTGGCCAATATGCTTCTTCCCTTTTGACGTTCGCCACCTGACATGTGTCCTGCACGCCGGGCTGCCTAATCCAGTGCATAACATCACAACCAGCGTGATCATGTCCATTAACGATAATACCCCTTCTGCCCTTGCCTCCACCCTCTGCATCTTTATTTGGACTCATGCCAAACATTCCTTCCAAAACGATTTTACTAGCGTGATCAGATAGCATATTCTGTTCCTTCAATCCTTGGCCTCCCTCGAAGAAATCGAAGTATGGAGAATCGACGCAGATACCAGCTTCCTTTTCGAGCGGGATGTGTGTGAGGAGGATGGTGGCGTGTGTTTTGTCGGTGACAGGCAGGGAGGAAGTAATGATGTGGTTCGTGAAGGAGTAGGTTTCTGTCTGGAGGTCCGAGGACCATGCGGGGGTGTCCAAGTTCATCGAGTTGAAGATTACGAGGCGGAGGGTTGGCGGTCTGGTGGCGTCTTTGGTAGATGGAGATGGGTCGGTACGTTGGTCTGGGTCGGTTGGATCGGTTGGGTCAGTTTTGTTTGAGCGCAGTTCGTCTGGCAGTGTGAACCAGATATCCCAGTTCGAGCTTCCAAACGCCTTCTCGAAGCGTTCGATACGCGATTCATCGATGTCACCAGCGTAGCCGACGTCATGATTTCCGACGATGTTTATGACGCGCTTCTGCCAGTCTTTATCTGCACCGAGTACTTCTGTTGTACCACCCCATAGCGGCCTCCTCTCTTTCTTATTCTCTTTCTCTTCTACCACGTCTTTTTCTTCGCCTTCTTGTTCTTGTGATGTTTCTGCTGGCGGCAGCTCCGTGTTTTCACTCCCTATCGCGCCAAAGATAACATCAGGTACCTTCTCCAATCCCCTCATGACAACATTCCAATACCGACCCGCTCTTTTCGTGAACTCGCCATCTGTGACCCACTGACTGCCTAGCAAATCACCCAGGACACTGATGTGCGTGGGTTCAGTCCACCATCTCAGGCTCCTGACTATATGCGCAAGATACCAGTCGTTTCCCCAAAGATCGATGGCTTTCCTCTTTCCCTCTAGCCACTTCCCTGCATCTTTTACAACACCTCGTGCTGCTTGGTCTAGAACATCTCGTTTCGCTGTGTAGTTGGCGGCATCGCGTAGATTCGGTACGAGGTTCTCGATCGACGGGAAGATGAGCGCATTCGGATCCGGAAGTGAGGAATCACCCTCAAGCTGGGGATCACCGAGAGAAAGTAGACGGAACGGTGCGACGGCTTGCGCGTGCGTAGACGGGGGTTTAGGAAAGGCGCAGCCGTGGAAAACAGGGTACAAGTATAGCCATGTTGTGCCGATCAAGGCTATCGGTAATAGCAGCAAGGCGACGCGGAAAAGAAAGCGAGAGAGCTGCATCTATGCCATCTATGCATGGCGGAAAGGAGACGATGATGTTTTCACATGCTGGCGCGTGGAGAGAGCGTGTCTTGGCCGCGGAGATGAATATGCAGGGGTTGTGGTGCAGCCAATAGGTTGGCGCATCTGCAGAGTGGGGGTAGGGATTTTGGCAACACATCTGCATGCTCCATGAGCAGCTTCAAACGTCGATACGTCTCTTTTCACTACCGGGATACGCTACTCTACAGCGTTGTCTTGCACTTGTAGCATTTGTCACGCCCTTCATCAGACTGACCTTTTAAGCCTATCAGCCGAATGGCTTCGAAAGGATTGTACATATTCAACAAGAGCACAGCCAATGAGAGCTCCGCATTTGCGGAGAAACATCACAGCTCCCATTGCGTTCATCAGACATACCAGAAATTCGTATATCGTCTATTACGCTCTCTTCATTCTCACATCATACGCCACTTTTGTATCCATATTCCAAACCAAGTAAAAAGCGCATGGCACACTATCTGCCCCCCACCTTCTCCCACCAACCTAACCAAGCAAATCCCCCAGCGCACCACCAGGCTTAGATCCCGGCTGAGGTGCTTGTGCAGCAGGTGTACTGGGAGTAGAAGCCGGCGCCCCCCAGAGCCCTTGACTAGTCTTCTGCTTGGCCAAGTCACCCATAGTGACCTTCTGCGTTGGTGTGCCCGCCTTCTTCGGCGCAACACCACCAAGCAAGCTCGCAAACGCATCACCACCAGCTTTCTTGGGTGCACCGCCGCCGATACCACCGCCGATGCGTCCGCCGGGCGACATTACAGAAGGCGTGGATGACGCTGATTGAGGCGCAGGCTGGGGCACGGAAGTGAAGTAATTCGGACCCGAGGCTTGGTAGCCTGAGGGCTGGGGTGGTGGTTGCGAGAAAGAAGAGGTCATGGAGGGGGGTGCGCTCATTTTGTTTGCAGCAGGTGGTGGTGAAACTGTTGCGAGCAAGTTGCTGAAGTTGTTGTTCTGGGCCGAGGACTGGGCTGTCGGTGCGGCGAATTGGGTTGACGAGGTGATAGTAGACGTCGACGCAGGAGAGACGATATTGTAGGCTGGAGCGGCTGGCTTGGATGCAGGTGCTACTGGAGCTGCAGACTGGAAGTCGTCGAAATCATCGTCGTCGCCGAAGTCGTCGCTTGGAGCAGCAACGGGCTGCTTTCCTGCTGAAGTCGACATGGGCGCAGGCTCGTCGTCAAAAGCGAGCAAGTCGACAACGGGCTCTGGTGCTTTCGGCTTAGGCTCCTCCTTCTTGGGTTCTTTCCTCGCGTGCGTGGTTGTGGGTTCTCTCCGCCGTGCTGGTGCTGGGCTAGCACTTTCGCCCTCGTCGTACTCGTCGTACTCGTCGAACTTGTCGCGTCGCTGTTGTGTGTCTGCGAAGCCAGATTGGTTGCCTCCAAAGCCACCGCCGTCGCCGTAGACCTCTCCTCTGTAGCCACCATAGTCTGCCTGCTCACTGCCAAACCCTCCGTACCTGCTACCACCCCCGCTACCGCTTCCTGAGAAGCCACCCATGCCGATGCCGGCTCCGCCCTCGACACCACCAAACTTGTTTCGGTTCGCTCGCGCCTTCTTGCGCTCGGTGCGGATGCGGTCGACGTCGCTAAGAAGTTCGGCGAGCTCCTTGGCGCGGTTGCGTACGTTGATGCCCTGGTCTTTACCGTTCTGGTCGATGAAGTGGAATTGCCGTAGCATCTTGAGGAGCGAGACGTGAGAGCGCGCATCATCAATGACTCGTTCTGAACCGTTCTTGATCAGGTATTCGAGGAGTTGCAGGGCCTGGCTTGTTAGCGACGCCGGCGACAAGGAGAGCGCCCGAGTACCTTGTAGATCTGTCTCCATTCTTCCGAAGCCTTCTCCGTGAAGCGCTTGTAGATCATGGGCATGATCTCGTTCAGTAGTTGGCTAATTCGTTAGCCATGATCCGCCAGGTCCTCGGGCATCGCCTACTAGTTGAAGGTTCCATTGGCAATCTCCTGTAGCATGGTCGATGATGCACCTGGCCGCCTGTCAGCTGCATTCTTCGCGAGACCCCAGGCTCGGCTTACCCCATGGCTCATTGTTTGTTGCCTCGCGGACCTTGGCCTCCATCTCTGTGTAGTTCATCACCGCTACGAAGCGCGTTAGCATTGGCCAGCTGGCTTCACCCTTCCCCTCAGCATACCATTTTGGGCCTTGCGGAATCCCGCCTTGAGGTCGTAGAGCGTGAGGTTGCTCACTTGATCCTTCAAGCTATTGAGATCCATGGCTGTAGACTTGTGGCGTGTCGGTCTGGCAATATGGTAATGTGAGTGTACTGGAGTCGAGGTGGCAGCTGTCGACCACGGTCTCGGGAGCGGACCACCGAGGGCGAATTGCAAAGGTCGTTACGAGGAAGGTAGTATGCGTTTGCGCCAGAGGTGTCTCGGTCACGCGAAATATAATCGAGAAGACTGCAAAGATGTCCGCTTACAAGAATATTCACCTTGTCGCGAGCCATGCCCATGGTACAGGGTAAACGGCGATGGCGGCCCAGCGCTCACGTGATCTAAGCTCGGGCCTTTCCAAGCTATCCAGGTACCTATGATGCTCAGAGTGAGACAACACGCCTTGGACTGTTGCACGACTTGACATACGAAAAGTGAAATGTGTTAACGGTGTTGCGCACCTTGTCCAGGAGTACTGGTAGTTAAGATGAATTATTTCTGTCGTAGTCATGTATACAGTCCTCGATTGATGCGAGCAATGGAGCGCCGGATCGGGGAACGCGCTAGACTCGTGCACAAGCTTGAGGTATCCAAAGTTTTCCGTCTGGTCATCCATCCGACCCTTCAACTGCTACCTCGTGTCGGCAATTCATCAATTGTATTATATTCCTTGAATCTTGCATATCGTGTTGCATAGCGGCCCGATTCCTCGTATCATTCCTGTAAGTTGCCACCAGAGTCTTGCTGGAAGCCGGCCATTGTGTTGTGAATAGCTATCTGATAGTTCCAAAGGTACCACCCAGAGTGAGTTCCCACCCAACAAGAGTGGCACCACAGACGTCAGCCCTGCATCCCCAGCAGTGTCTAAACGCACAATTACCTGGCTATCTCACGATTCACTGCCAAGAAACAGGACCTAACTGCTTATCAGGTTAGACTCACACCCCGCGCTGCATCATGCCCCACCTTCCGAGAGCTTCTGCTCTTTCAGCTTTCCGCGCAGCTCCCCAACTTCGCGCTCCTATCAACAAACGCTTCTTCACTCCTTCGGCATACAACATGGCCATCAAGGCTTACTTTGATTGCTCCTGGACCGGGCCCACCGTTGAGGTCGACAATGCCGGCAACGTCACCAGCCAGGGCGAGGTTAAGGGTAGCTACGACCGCTTTCACATGCGACTTCCACCTGCTGACTATGAGTTACAGCGCAATCCGGTCGCGTCAACTTCGAGCTCTTCGACGATGTCGTTCCCAAGACGGCTGAGAACTTCCGCGCCCTCTGCACCGGCGAGAAGGGTTTTGGCTACCAGGGCTCAAAGTTCCACCGCGTGATTCCTCAGTTCATGCTCCAGGGTGGTGACTTCACCCGCGGCAACGTCAGTCTCGACTCTCCATACAAAAAGACAGATGGTTAACAGACGTTAGGGCACTGGAGGCAAGTCCATCTATGGCGAAAAGTTCGCCGACGAGAACTTTAAGTTGAAGCACGACCGCCCCTTCCTCCTCTCCATGGCCAACGCTGGTCCTAACACGTAGGTTTTCTATACTATACTCTATCAGGAAGAGTCATGGCTGACACGTCATAGCAACGGTTCCCAATTCTTCATCACCACCGTCGTTACCTCATGGCTGAACGGCAAGCACGTCGTCTTTGGTGGTGTTCCCGATGGCGATGTCGAGTCCTACAAGGTTGTCCGATCAATCGAGGCTTGCGGCTCCAACAACGGAAGCATCAAGTACAAGGAAGGCCCACCTACCATCACTGGTGCTGGCGTCCAGTAGATACATCTCGGTGAGGTGGGACGGCGCCATAGAGGCAAGGGTTCATGCGCAACTGGTGGTTTATAATTGTGTAGCACCTGTCAGTGAGACTCTATGACTCCGTGGGCAGCTATGAATGAACGAAATCTGAGCAGTCTAACGTGCGGTTTCATGCTATTGAAAAACTTTCTTCCATCTTGCGCATGCGGCATTTGTCCTGCGTTCTGTGACTTTTTTGTCGCAATGAGGGGCAGTTTTTACCCCGCACTCGTCATAAGTGTGTACATTCCGCACCACAACAACTTACGCGGAAACGTCCTTCAAGTGGCTTTGGCATCGATTGAGTTCATGCTAGTCGATGGACTTGTAACTTTTTGTTGAGGTCTAATCTATAGACGAGATTATTGGGGCCTCGTCCCACAACGCCATCACCTTGATAGCTCTGTATACCCACTCCACCCCCAGCTCTGCCACGATTGTGTCCACAAATTGCCGGTACAGCTCCACCCTAATGGCGTGAACGGCTAGATCTAGCGGTCTTCGTCCGCAATTTCGCCGTCTAGGGCGTGATGTCGACATCTTCGACATTTCGACATTCTGACAAGCAATCTGTTTGATTGGACATATCCAGGACAACATCTCATAGCCTTTCAACTTATTAGAACGACTGCGACACTCACATACACCACTTCATCAGCATTGAACTCAGAGCACATCGAACAACTCGAAACTCGACAGACGCTGTCTACAGAAGACGACTGCGATCATCATGCCACCATCAGCATACCACCCCTCGACCCACGGCGTCCACGCCGACGACCGCATCAACATCCTCACTGACGTCGCCCCACCAATTCATACCGCAACTACCTTCCGATATCCTCACGACCCATCGCAACTCCAACCCGTTCCCACAGAAGGCGAATTCGTCGACCTCCAGACACCTTTGATATACTCGCGCCTCGCATCCGCCAGCACAAACCGACTGGAAACCATCCTGGCCCCACTAATGTACCCGGATGCTAAGGAAGAGGAATTGGACGGACAAAGTGGTTTGGCAAATCATGTTGTTAGCTACACAAGCGGCCTCAGCGCTTTCCACGCTCTGCTCGTCAACCTCGTACCCAAAGTTATTGCGATAAGTGGTGGATACCACGGCTGCCACGGCGTCATCGACCTGCACAAGAAGATGCACGGCGTGAAGACTGTTGACCTCCATGCCGACGATGCTACCTGGGACGCTGCGGGCCTGGGAAAAGGTGACCTGGTTCATTTGGAAACACCACTGAATCCTACCGGCGAAGCCTTCTCCATCGCCAAATACGCAGAACGGGCCCACGCGCGCGGCGCATATTTGAGTGTTGACGCTACGTTTGCGCCGCCGGGCTTACAGGATCCGTTTCGTTGGGGCGCGGATGTGGTTATGCATAGTGGGACTAAGTATATTGGGGGGCATAGCGATATGCTTTGTGGCATTCTCGCGGTGAAGAAAGGCGAGGAAGGGTTGAAGAGAGCGAAGACGCTACGCGCTGAGAGGATCTTCCTGGGTGCTGTGCTGGGCAGTTTGGAAGGCTGGCTCGGAGTAAGGAGTCTGCGGACTTTGGACTTGCGTGTTCAGCGGCAGAGTAGTTCTGCAGATAAGCTTGTCCGCTGGCTGCAGGATTCCCTTGATGGCAAGGGTGAGGGGAAAGAAGCGGAGGTGGTGAAGAGAGTTGTGAGCAAGATCTCTCATGCTAGTCTGCAAACGGCGGATTACGACTGGCTTAAACAACAGATGCCCAACGGTTTCGGCCCCGTCTTCAGCATCTACATGAAGACGCCACAACTCGCACGTACCTTACCTAGCAAACTCCGCCTTTTCCATCATGCGACTAGCTTGGGAGGTGTGGAGAGTTTGATCGAGTGGCGCAGGATGAGCGATGCAGAAGTCGATGAGAGGTTGCTGAGGGTCAGTGTTGGGGTGGAGAGTTGGGAAGATCTGAAAGGGGATTTGCTGGGTGCATTCGAGTCGTTGGGAAGTGATCAGAAGAACGTGACAGATAGAACGAGTAATGGGGGAGAGGTGCAACTTGGACAGGAGGGGGCGCAGATACCGGAGGCGGGTGCTGGCGCTGTATGAAGAGCTATGTGGTGTTGAGAGATGCCGACAGGAGCGGTAATGGTATTGCAGATTAGGTCTTGGCGTCTTGAACATGCGTCAATCGTATCAGCGAATTTTGAGGTTGTCGCTTATATGATATGAATAATTATAGATAAAGGCCGGTAGTTTTGCTTTCTTGTGGCGCGACTGAGAGCGATGTACTAGTTTGGAGTCAAGATTAAAGTTCTTCTAGCTGAGTTGACATGCGGGCAGTGTACCAAACTGCAAGAACACGGGTCGAATCAATACCTGGATTTTGATTAAGATTGTTCTAGTCAGGGTCAGAGAAGACGCAACGAAGCCCTCCCACGCGGCCGACAGCTTTGGACCGACGCCGTTGACAGGCTTGCCTTAAACAATGCTGGCATACTTCTCCAAGATTGGAAACCATGTTTAGTGATATATGAACATCACTGGTTTACAATATGCCAGCACGTTGATCGAAATAGATCACCTGATGCACGTGTAAGGAATTACCTGGGTAGCTTTAGAGTTTCAAGATTTAGTAAGCTGATTGGCATGCGCGTGACGCCAGATCTGTGGCAACACGTTGCAATGACCTAGGGATCTTCAAGTATCTCTCAAGGTACTCTATCCCTAGAGACGCAGACATCGTATCGTCAGTGAGGCTGAGAAGGGACGCGAGATCAGACAAGAGCAGACGTCGACGATACTCGGCGTGGGTATATGTGGGTCCCCGACGCTTTCCGCAGCCAGAACGGCCCTCCTCGCGGCGCGCTATGCTACCCGTCAAACCATGACAAAAATTTGCTTCTTCTCCATAGCAGCCGATACCGGTGCGCGTGGTACCGATCCAGAGCCCTGAGTGGAGATGATGTGGTCAGGAGAAATTGAATCCTGGGGCTGGTCCTGCGTAATATGAGCGATGCCGCCATGGTTACGCTCGGCTCTCAGCGTCGGCGGCAAACACAACACAGATCGCGACATGGGCTGTGCTGGGCGAGATGACGCTAAGATGAGGAACGGCTGAATGTGCATTTCGCCGACTGTGGGGTAACAGGCATTGCATGACAATGCGAGGTCACGATGGCAAGCTTGGAGATACACGGCCATGGCAAAAGCAACGACCTCGAATTGAGTTTAGGAGCTGATGTCATGCCATCAGCTTTGGAAGCGGGCGCATTAAGTTTGCCAGTCACTGGGCATTACATTACACGCGACAGTTCGCCATCATCACATCAAAACCGCATGTCGCCATAAACACCAAACATGTCGACTACTCCACAAGAATGCGTGACAGTATTGTCCAATCGTCAGTGCTTCTAGCGCGGGCGATAAGCCGGGAGTCTGCGTCAGTCTGGCACCATCTGGAGCAGCAATGAAGCCTCACTAGTGCGACATGGACGCATCCGACGCAAGCCGAGCATCGTGCGCGACATCGTGGATCACCAAGAGTACCAACCATGGTATATAGGGGCTATCGAACACATTGTGAAAAGTCACAAGACCTCCAGAATTGCTCTTTCTGTCAAATTTGCCGGTATCAACTTTATAAAGAATAGTAATTCACGGAATCCGGCCATATACTACACCACCTGCATACGCCTCTGAGTGTAAGATATACCAGCTCCGACTCACCACTCGAGCGTCCAAATCACACACAATCTCAAAATGATGCTCCGGAGACAGAACCTCCAACGCTTCCAGAGCCTTGCCCTGGCACACACATCCCGAACTCTCGCATCAACACCGCGTTACGTCTCACAGAGCGCACGACAGAATGTCTCCGTCCCCGCCGACTCATCACAAGTTTCGACTGCACATCTCCTGTCCACACAGCCAGAGTCACAGATAGCGCAAACGAAAGCAGTTCTCGGCCGCCTACCCACAGAGACTGTCCTCCGCTCCTACCTCATCACCGCCGTATCCTCAAGGCCTCTCCTACTCAATGCTTGTTTCGGGATCCTGAGGCGTATGCTTGACTCCAAGTCTTTCCTTTTGAGCATCGAGCGCAACCCTGTATTGTCCAACTTGCTCAAGAAGACATTCTACGCGCAATACTGTGTTGGCGAGAAGAAGGATGAGGTTGTCAGGAACACTGAATTCGCACGTACGCTCGGTTATGGTGGTATCCTGTTCGAGTATGCGCTTGAGGTACTTGGTGGAAAAGCGCCAACTGCCGAGGAAACCAAGATGGAGATTGAAGTGTGGAGGAAGGGAATGCTACAGAGTGTCGATATGGCCAAGGAAGGCGACTTTGTTGGACTAAAGTAAGTCATCTTCTTGTTTACTCTCATGGAGATATTCTAACCACCATTTAGATGGTCCGGTCTCGGTCGCCATGCCCTCAACCTCCTCCAGAACCAACAAGAAGCCACTCCCGAAATGTGGTCTGCTATAACTGCCGCTTGCGACGCCGCCGCCGCGAAAGGTGTGAGCCTCCTACCCGGCGCTGAAGAAGAGGCCACGAACCTCGGCCTCGAGAAATGGACCCTTGCCCTGCAAGAAAAGTACAACAAGCCCGAAAATGGTCGCGCCGTCCTGTACATCACCTACCAATGCTACCTCCGCGACATCTCCAAACGCATGGCTGCGCACCTTGAGCGCGCCTCAAAGAAAGGCTATATCGCGGGTGTCAAGCTTGTCCGCGGTGCATACCTCACTTCCGAACCCAAACACATCACCTTCGACACCAAAGCAGGAACAGACGCCAACTACGACGCCTGTGCCGACGCTGTCGTCCGCCAACAATGGACCGACAAAATCCCCGCCCCTACTCCCGGTACTCCCTTCCCTCGCGTGAACATCGTCCTTGCAACGCACAACCTCGCTTCCGTCCAAGCCGCCCAGAAGATCCGCGCCGAGCAGATGCTTACTACGTCGCCTGACCAACTTCCCCGTCTCACATATGCACAGCTGCAAGGTATGGCGGATGAGATTTCTCAGGCCCTGGTTCAGGATGAGACTATGAAGGCGGATACGCAAGCCAAGGTTGTCAAGTGCATGACTTGGGGTACTACGACTGAGTGCCTCAACTTTTTGCTCAGGCGCGCAAGTGAGAACAAGGAGGCGGCGCTGCGCACAGAGGATACCCGCAAGGCGATGGCTAAGGAGCTTTGGAGGAGGATGAGGGGTGTTTTTGGTCTTGCCTAAACACATTCGAGATGCAAGAGAGAGAGAGAGAGAGAGAGAGAGAGAGAGAGATGTGGATTTTTTCCCTTTGTTACGAAGCGAAGCATTTTCGGTATGAAGCATGAGCATGAGCGTGGCGTTTTTCCCGTTTTATCATTCTGGGAGGGATGGTTGGAAGTCGATTTCGGCATGTTTGCCTTTCCTGCCTGTCATGGCAGATGAGAAATTGGGTTTGATTTGCATAGCGATTTTCTGGTTGTAAACGATATTGAAGAATCTGATATCAGTATGAATATTACTCATGACTACTTCCACCTTGGAGTCTTACTATGATGTTGGTCGCTCGAGTCAAGTGGGTATATCGAACAGTGCTCAGTATTGCTGTGGTTCCTGGTGACCGGTTTTACCCCACAACTTTGCATACTGCGTTCATGTCGTCTACACTAACAAACGTCTCCTTATATATTATATCTAATCTTCTCATTCTTCAACAATCGCCTCCTTGGCTAAGTGGTAAAGCGTCGCACTTGTATCAACTGGATATGCGAAGATCGCTCGTTCGATTCGGGCAGGTGGCAAATTTCTTTTTTGTGTTTTTGAGGTTTAAACAATATTTGAATATCTTCCATTCCTCTCTTGTTCTTTTTGCTTTTGTTTTCAACTCTCACCAAGCACAATCGTTAACGCCTACTCTAAGTTCTTGTTGTTCACGTTCGCAATGCGCAGATACTCTGAGAACGAACGTCACATAGCTGTCCTTCGAGTGGGAACATATTCCGTTGATATACTCACCTATACTTTCTGATGCTGTGTCATTAGATTTGCTCTTGATTTAAGCATATACCTTCTTTTTTTGCATTTTGTAGTTAGACATATGCCAAAGCATTTAGTTAATTACGTATTCCTATGTTACTAAACTACAGCCTGGTTCGATACGGTCTACAGACTTCCTGTCACCAATAGTACAGGTGCCAGAACCGACTGCAGAGGAAGCAGACGGAAACAATACCTGATATTATGAGAGCGATGTCTACAGACGATGATGAACTTCTCTAGACACACGGACTCTTGACCGGGGCCGCCCTGGGGTCACAGTGCAGCGCGCAACTGTAATCCACACCGATATCCAAGACCTGCCCAATCCGGAAATGTCTACCTAGAACCCGATTCAATCAACCCTTTTTCCACGCAAACAATCATCATAGTGTCTCTGACTGTCTCTGTATGTTTTTAATTCATGAATAGTGAATTTCCGACACCTATCCCGTCCTACATCTATTTGTAAATATTTGTAGCATTCGCAATGTTCGAGATGCTCGCTACTGCCAAGTGCCCTGCCGAAACACCAAGGCCCCCAAGCTCAAACCACAAGTGCTGCATCATCCGCGTATCAAACACATGTTCTCAACGGGACCACCGTCTAGTGGTGGAAATCACGCATGTCAAGCTCAAGAAAGGCGAGGCGAGGCTGAGCTTGTAGACTTGGCTGTACTCGTACGTGTTTGGGAGTAAACGCGTTTCGCAGGACTGCTCGAAGCTCGTAATTTGACCGTCATGCAAAGTATACATGTACCCAATATCCCCACAATCCCTTCTTTTCTTTTCTCCCTTCTCCATACTGCCGTGCGGTAACCTCACATTCTTGTTGTTCTTTTTCGATTCTTGACTTCTGGCCGGTCCATCATTTCTCTATCGTAATTTTAATTCTACCTACTACCTACCCCATTGCATCCCGGTACCGCCACCATGTACAAGCAAATCGTCACTCTCTCGCTCTTGTCTCTGACATCTGCCCTGCCCCAACGAAACCGCGGCGGCGGCAACGGCGGCGGCCAACGACAACAAGCAACCGCCTTTCAACAAGCCGCCCAAGTCCCCCAGGGCATAAGCACTGCAACCGACGGCTCCATGATCCTCGACGACACAGTCATGGTCAACAATCTACCCATCCGCTTCAAAATCTCCGCTCCAGCAGACCAGTTCCTACCTGCGTCTGGCGTGCCCGGTGCAGCAGCTACTTCGTCCAACGGCACGCTCGGCGCAAACGTACTGCTGCATGGTGATGGTGGACAGAGTTTCTTCGATATGCCGAATCAAGCCGTGCAGGCCAACACCATGGGCGTCGCGCTTCTGGCACCCGATGACAATCTGTTCTGGGGCGGAGGTGCCGGCTTGCAGCGAACGGATGGTGTCGCACACGCGCAAGCCGTGAATGACTTTATCCAAACCGAGCTCCCAGCACGTGTCGCGGTCAACATGTCCAACATTGTCTTCACAGGTGTCTCGGGAGGCAGTCTGATGATGTCTGGTTTCTTCATCCCAGCGCAGATGCAAAACTATGCCAACTCGGCTGTGGAGCTAAACTGTGGTGGCATGCCTCCTCAGGTCGCGTTCCAGAATGCGGCCACTGTTATGCAGCAGACAAGGATACACTTCCAGTCTACACAGTCGGAGCTTCAGTTACTTCAGGGGAGCATCCCGCAAGCCGTATCAGCCTACGAACAGCTAGGCGCAGACGCAGGTCTATCTGCTGCACAAATCAATCAGCTGCAGACTGTGGACAACACGCCGCAGGGAGGGCATTGCGAGTTCGATGGACAGGATTTTGTGAGTGGTGTGCAGACCATGTCGAGCAGCTATGCAAATGTTATGCAGGGTGGCAATGGGGCGGTGCAGGGTATCGGGGCGCCGAGCACGGGTGTGGTCACGACGGGTGTTGTTGGAAATGAGAACTTGCAATTTGTGGGTGGGAGGAAGCGCGAGGTGGACGTGGAAGCGAGGAGCATGGTACAGATGCGGTGGGCGCAGGACGTTGTTGAGGAGCCGGACTTTCAGATGCTGGCGTGCGATAGGAGTTCGTGCTCGGCTGACGAGCCTAGGATCTAGATATCCAAGTTCAGTATATAATGTTGTATCTCCCGGACCGATGGCTGACGGTCCTTCTCAAAAAGTTTCCCTATCGCATTACTTCTGTGTTCATTATCCATCACTGCAAAGAGCTAGACATTGTGGTTGGTCGTAATGTTCATTTGACTGGTATTGTGAAGGTCGTCCCATTGCTAATCGTAGTTGCAATGTCGTCTCCCAAATCCTTCACCCCGTAAATGCATTTTCGCCGTGCCCGTGAACCCATGAATGTTATCGAAAGCAGGAAAAGAGACACCTCACATGACGACACCGGAGTTGGAGGCGATACGCTGTACGTTGTTAGCAGAGTTTTGCGCAAGGGTGGTGTTTGACGTACCGGCCACAGCTCAGCAGCCTCCTTTGCGACGGGTCCAGTGATGGCAGAGCCCTTCATCTCACCCTTGGGGTTGACGATGACACCGGCGTTGTCCTCGAAGTACAGGTAGATACCGTCTGCTCGCCTCCATGGCTTGCTCTGGCGGACAATGACGGCGGGCATGACCTTCTTCCTCAGCTCGGGCTTTCCCTTCTTGACGGTCGCCATGACCATATCACCAGCACCGCCAGCGGGCAGACGGTTGAGGCGCGCACCGATACCCTTGACGGAGATGATGTACAGGTTACGGGCACCGGAGTTGTCGCAGCAGTTCATGACGGCGCCGCTGTTTCCATTAGCCTGTGTTCCTCGAATATCCTGTTTCGCAATCGGGAATGTCCTGGTCGGGCGATCGCATCGGGGTCAAACGTACACTGGCAGACCAAGAGTCATCTTGAGCTTGTTACCGGAGGTAGAACCTCGACTGCGGACTGTTAGCAATCTTCCTCTTTCACTGTCCACCTGCGGCGACAACAACGTACCCGCGCTTTCCAGACATGTTGATAGATTATCGGGGGGATGTTCGACTTGGGCGGGTTTCGGGTGCGTCGTCGCTGGAGTTGTCGTGAGCGCTGGAAGTTCGTCCAGTGGGTTGCAGACGACGAAATTGTGTGCGCGCACGGACTCCCGCTAGTGTCATTGCAGCAGAGACCCCAACACCAACACCAGTACCAGCACCAGTAGCACAGCAAGACGACACCCGTCATGGAATATTCCTGAGAGGATACGCTCCCAGGTACCGGCGTTTACGAAGCTGCCTGCCCAGCCACTTTCTGCAAGCGTTATGGGCATCCACTCTACCACAATCACGATTCTGGTGATGCTCTGAAGCGAACAGAGCTAGGTGCACTTCCAGACATCGCATTCGATGTGAACAACAAAAATCTTAATAAAACAGTCGATAACGAACATGATATTCGTTAGTTCTCAGTCGCCTGAGAGGCCCCTATAGATCACCTGGTCGAGACTTCCGGATACCGTGCACCAAGTTACACTGCAGATGCAAACATCCATCCATATTCTGTAATCATAGCTTTTGTCAAGTTTTCTACCTGTTCACATCTGGACCTGAATAAGTCTTTGTGAAGTAAAGTATTGACGAGTTCCCAACCGGAACTGATTCGGGCTGAGAAGACATCGGCCTTCATTCGCCGCAAACCCCTGCAGCACCGCATGAAGCACTGGTGCATCATTGTTTATACGTCGTATTCGACAATACGACGTATCGTCCTTGCCGCAGCTATTTCGCGATAGCTTCCACACAGTACCAAAGGTCTGATGACAGGTCATGCAACTCGCTGACAGCTTAGGTTAAAGGTGGGGTCTCACACCAGTTATCTAATGTCCAAGATGCGGTTGGAAATTTTGGAACCAATTATGGGAAAGAAAAACCCAAGTCGAGAATATCGCTGGTCCCGTCTTGCCTACTCGCTATGGTAGAAAGCGGGTATATAACTAGCGACCGAGTACCTAGCTTAGGAAGCAAAACGCGACCCAGATATCCTCGCAAGTAGCTACCTAGGGCTCAGAGTCCCAGCTAGCAATTACCAATTGACAGTGTCGCGCAATGATATACCGAAGAAACAAAAAAAAACGCCATGGCTGGGGGACGCGGAACAAGGAAGTTCTCAGAATGTGAAAAGGCTAGGCTTGTTTGCGCAAGACCAGGCGACGCAAAACGTGGACCTGCGCGAACAACCACTGAGAATCTTCGGCAGGCTAGGATCGTCATCATGGC